GCATAAATAGTTTAGTCACACAGTCTCATGAGAAAAATCCATTACTTCAAAAAAATTTCAACAGGTAGTAATTCTTCACAATGTCTCAACATACTCTCTACACCAGTGATATTCAATCTTTTTTGTTTGCGTACCCCCAGATACAATTTCTCTTCAACCTTGTACCCCCAAAGTTGTTGGTGTATAATTCAAGTTATACATAGTACACAATCTACATCTAAAATAATTAAATAAATTACATTACTCAGTGTTTATCATATTTTTTTTTTAAATTTCACGTACCCCAGGTTGAATACCACTGCTCTACACCAAATGATATAAAATAACATTACTGAGGCAAGCTATCCTAAATTGTGATTAATGTTCTCACATTGACTTTTCAAGGAATCCATTCAACTTTCTCACACTCAGTAAGATCTGAGGTTCTCATGGTAAATATGAAGACAGCCGTCTTCTGGATGTTCTGGATTGTTACGCTGTGTAGTCTGGAAGAAGTTAACAGACATTTCAGTAGTGTTTGCTGTCTCCATCATCATGGCAATGCACCCTGATGATGGAAGCAGCACATGCATCTGAAATATCAGTAATATAAAAGAGGACCAGACAGCTGTCAATTTACTGCCCAACTGCTGGCTAGATGATGAGGGTCTGAGTTCCACCAGGGGCAGGGACCTTATCACCACCACATCCAGAAGGCTCTGGGTCCATCCACTTTCTCATCCAATCACAGGATCCTTCCCCAGGGATAAAGAAGCCAGCTACTTACTTCCATCTAGTGCCAATATTAAGAATAAACGGAGCTATACCTCCAAACAACAGTAAAACTTCATGGTGTGTTGCTGAAGAACCTACGCAATTTCACCTTTACCACATTATAAAAAATATGAGAACATCACTGCAGACAACATTAAATACCTTTGCAGTCAGTACTTTTGAGCAACTCTGCACTACATCATGATCTGAAGCATGAAAAGGTGGAAGATGATAATAAGTAGCAAATCTGAAAGTGCGTTACAAAACTAGTATTAGAACTCCAAGATTTCAACCAGAATATAAACACTGTTATGAAAACCTCTCATTCTCACTAATTTCCTTCATGGAAACCACTATGAAACACTGGCAATCTTCTACCAGACTATACAGTGCCACAACCCAGAATACAGCCATCTTTGGACTGACCACCATACAAATTTCATATCCTACAACGGGTTAATGGTTTCATAAAATATAAAATTTCACAAGGCAAGAAAGCAACATCTACTTATCCACACATCCAGCCAACAACATATCCATTTCATCCATCCACCCCACAGGTCACCACAGTGATCAAATAATCAAAAGTATTTCAAAAACTATACTTCCCTCAACACCCATTACACATAACCATTTAAATTTGATTCTGATATTAATATCATGTCCAATAATGAAAAGGCAGGAAATGTTCATTGAACCTGAAACACTTGCTTCAACTCAGTCATATTACCAACATTAATGTATGATTCTCCAACTTTTTCATGAGAAGACCACACTGACAAGGGTCACTCAAAATGACAGCAACATAATTTCATGATAAACACATTAATCCATCCACAAATCCATATAGCACTAGCACAAAATTTTGTGTGGCGAGTAATGCATAAAAATAATGTGGAATCTATTATATGCAGTCTTTGAAATGCAAGTTTGTGATCCCTAATGTATAACAGCACAAAAATTTAACTTAGCAGCACTGATTATATAAATGATCCTTGTTCTTCTGCCTTTCCATAGCAACAACTCATTACAGAATAAAAATTATCATAGACAAGATACGTGAAACTGCAAATACAGGAGGATATCTGGCAGCTGCGATGTTAGGACTAGGAAATGTGATGACCAATGCATAGGTGAAAGGGCATGCTGTGTCACAAGCATACATGCCAAATAATCCAACTCTATATATATATATCAAAGTCCCCACACAATTATTCCACTGTTTACACAAAAGCAATAGGTACTTAATTAGTAAACAGGTTAAAAATATAATTTACATCAAGAAGATTTACAAAATAAATAATGTTGCCTACTTCGTTATATCATGTTTATAGAAGAACATACTCATTTGTGTGTCCATAAAATGTCTAAAACATGTTACAAAAATGTATATTATAAATACACACAAACACATTTTAAAAAGTTTGAACTTTTATCATTTTAAAATCTGATTTAATTTAAACAACAAATTACTATTGTATAGATAATGGGGTTTAAAATCTGGAGAGAACAGAAAATGAGACTGCAATGTTATACTGTGCACTGTTTAAATGTTTCACAGACTACAGATATGCAAAAGAAGTTGTTTCTCTGTTAAATTTATTGTAAATTAAAGTAAATCATCCTTAAAATTCCTGTCTGGAATCAATATTACTTTTTCAAAAAGTGCAGCAAACACCCAACTCAGCAGTGCAGAATCTCTGAAACAAACCTAGCCTTGAAAGATTAGTATTCACTTTCTACACCCCTTCTGAAACATGTCAGTGAGTATTCCCTACTCAAAATTTTTCTGAGTATAGTACTTATCTATTATACTGAGGGAAACATTAAATAATGACCTTAACGTATATTCAATATAAACTAGTACCTGCTGTTGCTGGTTAAATTAATTTGTGAGCTTTTGATATTTTACTAGAAAGTTTGCTTGCCAATGGCAATATGCTAAGAAATTCACCAACACAAGGAAGTCCCTGTATATAATTTAATGGAGTATTCCAAACTTTTGGAACAAGCAATATATTCCAGAAAAAAGATGGCAATATGAAAATATGCTTATAAAACCAAGGTCCTAATAGTTGTATTCTGACGTTCTTATCGACCAAAGAATACAACGTTAAGATGGCATACACCAAATAAATGCAAATGTATTTTTTTAAACATTCTGAAAACTTTTACAACTTCTTGCTTTTAAATTATGATTCTTCTGCCCTGTAAAAAACGTTTTAACGTATATAATTACATAAAACCATAATTGTAGCTGTTTAAATTTAAAGATCCCTGCACACATGCCTGGCCAGAGAAATAAAACTCATTCTAAGAAAACTCATGTCTGATATATGATTATATACCCTTATACATGATGAAATATTAACATTAAATCTATTTTCTGATGTCCAGGAAATTTCTGTGATTCTGTATAGAAAAAAAGTATTACCAAACATATTGTTTTTTAAAATACAGCCAAAATTAATTTTGGGGCACTGTTCTATCTATTTTCAAAATAATGAAGCACTCCCACCTGCACGTTCTACGTGTTCTACAGCAGCAATGGCAAATACTGTACATGCAAGTTAAACAAATACTCATGACGTGAGCAGCAAGTGATATGCACATATGCAACTGTCATATTTCTGAGTGGAGAACATTGGTCTTTAGTACAAAGATATTTCTCACATGACTTTGTTGCTGTCTGCTGCTCCAATTTTCACAATATCATTATTCATTTGCTGTTTGTTATTATTATAATAATCATTACAATTATTATTATATAATAGTAATAATGTTACATAAACTTTACATCAGCTCAGAATAAGCACAACATTTTTTGGTCAGCTAGTAAACCAGAACGACTTCCCAGGCTGCATACGTCACAGACATTTACTCAACTCTCAGAGTCAGTAACTGGCAATCATGCATATTTTATGGATTAACATGCCACTAAGGACTGTTTTACTATAAATTTTAGTGATTATAATAACATCATTTGATAAAAAATCATGATATATGTTCAATGTTAAAAGACTGAAAAGGTTCAACATCCCCATTCTACACTTTTCAAATGTACTTCACAAGTCAATAAGTAAAAGTGATCAGTTTCCTGAGAAATCAAAATAAGGGGTGACAGTGCCTTGTATACTACTGTGATGTTAGTAAAGGAGTAGAAAATTTTGACAGCCGATCAACTAAAGCTGGTCTAACATAAATAAAGTTAATTTATTTCACCTGCAACTTCACATACTCATTCAGACACACAGTTCTCCCTGAGTAGAAGCCAGTCCTGCAGCACACATGAAGGAGATGTGCACTTTTAAAGCAACTGCAGTTCACTCTGCTGCAGTAGGAGTTCATCCTGGAGCAGTCGCTTGTTGTAGTTATCCAGCGTCTGCTTGATAGTTGTCTCCGAGTATCGGCACGTTTCTGCACCACATGTACAGGTGAAAGACTTGCACTTGATGATCCAGAATTTCTCACCATAGTCAAAACTGGGGAGCAGAACCAAGTTCTCAGCAGTCATCGTTACATCACCTGGCAGCATGCAACCATCACCTCCAACTACAGTATTTAAATAACACAAAGGTACTTTTCAAAACCATAACTGGGGAATTTCTTTGTTCAAACTGGCAAAGGATAAATAACTGTCAACAGAAAAGTAAGCTCATGCAATACATATCTTCCTCAAGCAGTATGAACATTCTACAATTAATCTTATCATATGGGAATAGGGGTTAAGTCCCTAATCTATGGGCTGCCAGCCAGACTTTAAGTACAGGGTTAATGTCTTAGCAGTATGCTAGTGAAATGCAAGGACAGACAAATAGTGCATATGATATGATCCATGTTTGATAATGGTTAGGCAGTACTGCTGGTCCTGTCCAACTAACTTCATGGTATAAAGCCTACCCTTTGCAGCTGTTAATCTGCCGTTCAAGAAATTTACGTCGTTAATAATTCCAAAATTCTCCATCATCACACAAGGAAACTAACAGTGAACATTATCCTAAAACACTTCAAATCAGTTTTCAAGCATGCAACATATCTTCCTGACAGTCAATTTAATATTATACTCTCAAGTATGTCTCAGTCTTCCAGACAGACTCCTATCACATTTTTAAATTACACTTTTGTATTCCACATTTCATTTACTTCTACATCCTTGATTTTATCACTCGTAAGAGCTGGGTCTAACTTATGAGCATATTAGACAAAAATAATGGATGTAGCAGTAAGGAATGTACAGAATACAACATGTTCGCCTTATTAAGGTCATTATCAGTGCCGGCCTTCCAGATGTTGCTTCAACTACTAGCGGTGAGGCCATGACTGGGAGGTTGGATACTTAAAAATGACACATGTACGCACAATAAACACAAGTAAGACATGTTTTTGATATCCAATACAAGTAAGCCCCTTTTCCACAAAAATGTCTACTCACAGCCTAAGGAGGGAATATGTCTAAAAGTTATAATCCATACAGTGAAAGAATTAAAATAAAGAATATTATCGAGTAAGAACAACTCTGTTGCCAAAACAAAAGAGATTCATTATAATCAACTCGTAGCTACCATAAAATACAAAACATGGAAAGAGTTAACAAAAGTATAGAAAAATGGAGGAAGCTACTGCACACAAAATAATTTAAGATATCAACGTGGTCTACAAACAATGGCAATAAACATAATGCATTAATTTATCATACAGAATTAAAGAAAACACCATGACAAAAGCAAAAGAAACTTGAAATGCTTACAAGAAATACAACAAATAATCAACTACTATATTCTCATACTCTGATTTCACTAGGTATACCTTCAGAAAAAATTCCATTGCTTCTCTAATTTCCCTAACACAGCCAGTTCTTTAGAAGGCATACAAATATTTAGTCAATATCTAAAGTTGTTCATGTCA